TATATATATATATATATATATTATCATTAATAAAAAAATTATGTCAATAAATTAAAAATTAATGTAACAAACATTAATGTGTATATACTAACAATAATTTGATTGTATTAAAGAGCTTATAAAAAAGAAGGGATTTTTACATATATATACCACTTTATAACATGTATATTACATATTTAACACCTAAAACTTAAATATTTCATATATACCACTTAAACACAATTTTTACCTCAGAAATGTCACTCCGTTAACAGCGAGTATCACTCCGTTTTATCCATGTTCCCGCCTTGATTTTTCGCGGTAGAACTCGTTTCAGCAAATCCCTCGGTATTCTCTTCCTCCGTATTTGCTCTTCCACCGTAGCTGTTCCTCCATACGATTTCTTCCATCCGTATTTACCTAGGTGAATTTTCTCTGGATTTTTATTCCCGTAGTTCTGATTTCCACCGTAGCTGTTCCTCACGTTTTTCTTCCATCCATAAAAAACATAACTTCCTCATAATTTGTAAGAACTCTTCCTCAAAGAAACAAATTTTAAGAGATTGAGAAGAAAAACGTAAGAGATGCAGACAGAGGTTGCGGTTGGAATCTCTCACAATCTGAAGAAATCTTGAATGAAAACAAGAAAAGCTAAAACCGATTAACAAAATTTAATTAAATCAAATTTAAAAGCAAAATATGGCATAAATCAGAACTACACAAAAAAAAAAAAAAAAGATTGTTCGACCATTAAAAAAATAACAGAGCTTCATATGTTAATCTAAACACCGAAGAAGCATTACTGGCGTCTGTAAATGAAGAAAAGCAATAACAACGATAATACAATAACAAGTAAATGAAGAAAAGGGAGGAGCAGATCTTACCTTCCGGTGGCAAAAAGCAAAGAATGAAAGAATGAGAGGAGTTCGGTGGGAAGAGCCGAAGGAGCACGCAGGTTAGGGCTTTTAGAAACGGAGTGATACTCGCTGTTAACGGAGTGGCATTTCTGAGGTAAAAATTGTATTTGAGTGGTATATATGAAATATTTAAGTTTTAGGTGTTAAATATGTAATATACATGTTATAAAGTGGTATGTATGTAAAAATCCCTTGTATTTAATGCATTTCGTTTTTTAATTTCACTTTAATGTTAAAGTTGTCACTTGCATTTAAGAAAGAAAGTTAGAGTTCTTAGTTGCATTTAAGAAAAAAAAATTGTAATAATTTAAGTACATTTTTTTTGCAAATGGAACTTTTCATTTGTTTAACCCTCCCCCATTTCCTATTGGCATATCACAATTATCAAACATGCAAACTTTAATTACACTCAATCTTCAAATAACAAATTTAGTAAGAAATAGAAAATTTTCTTTTAAGCAAATATCTATATTATTATATCATATGATATATCCATCTTAACTGACATTATTACTAAATAAGATTTTAGCAAAAAAAAAAATTTCAACAACTACAGCATTTTAAAACACTATTAAATTAATTGCAGTGCTTTTTTAATTGTTGAAAATTCGTTGTATTTGTATTAATTGAAAAAAATTTAGCAGCGGTTAATATATGACGGTTAATATATGACAGAAAATTTCTATATTCGTATAGACTATTTTAATAAGAATACAAATTCTATGTGAAAGATGATCAGTTATAGATTATAAGCTGAGCTGATCATATGATCAAATACATATATTAAGTCCATGCAAAATATAGAAAAATTCGTAAAAATTTGGTGTTTGAGAAGGCCTTTAGTCTAGAAATTAAGAAGTTTATTGCTTGAGCCTAAGTGATTTAGTAAATCTATTGAATGGAATCATGTGACATGAATGAGCCTCAGAAGATTTCATTATATCTAAATAGGATTTAATGCACTGCCTATTATCCATGCATTCGTCATGGTTAAAGAAAATAATTAATACAAATTAAATAAGCTTGTATTTATATTTGCCATGTGGCTGCAGATCACTTGTCTCTTTGTTTTACTTTTTCTGTAAATAAGTCTCTGTACTGATCGCTCATATACATGACAAATATATTTCTTTTATGTTCTCTGTCGCCCTCACCGTCCTCTTCTTTCTCCTGTTCTTTTGGTTCTTGCTACTCTTTAAAAACCAATACAGGTTTTGATTATTTTCTCCTCTCCTCTGATCAATTCTATATATGCTCGCGCGCCTCTCTCTCTCTCTCTCCCACAAATCCAAGGTAAGCCCAGCCAGAGTACTCCTCCAGCTCCAAATCTCCCGTCGCCAGTGCTAGCTGCATGCACCGGCGACCCCAAGAACAGTACTGAAGGTAAACAAGAACTCTGTAATCTCTTTTTGATATAGTTTCAACTGGTGAAGTAGAATCTTTCTCATTGTACTTATTAATGTTAAAGTATTTCAAATGAGAAGGTTTTGAGAATATAAATTTTTTGTTTGAAGTAAAAGAAATAGAGAGTAAAATTTTGAGTGTTATCTATTATAATTTTTTATTATTAATCTTTCTCATTGTACTTATATATTAAAGGTTGATTTCATTATAAGTATATGCTCTATCTTAGACTTTAAAAAAAATCATGATTAATTTAATCTTCGATCTAATGAATATTATATTGATGCCAAGTTATCAATTGATTAGTAACCAATCCATGTATTACACATTAACAAAATTCTTAATTATCATCAAACAAACTTCTAATTAGTATTTCTGAATAATAATAAAGGTTGATTTCTATGCTTTTTGATTATATATGAATCATATGTACATATACAAATATTACATATAATATTCATAAACATTTAATATCTTTTATGTTTCTAATGTTTCTTAAAGTCAATTTGGATTTATGCCGGGTAGGTAAGCTATACATTTATTAAGAGATTCGATGGAGAAGTATAAAGAGAGTAAGGATGATCTACATATAAATATATAATAGATGTGAATGTCAAAGTTGAATAAATATTAAAATATAGGGGAGAAATTTCTCATCAGAGTTGTACGAGAATTGCGTTAAGGCAACAAAGTGTGAAACTAGAAAGTGCTTGCATAGATCCATAAAATATATAGAACCAAGAGAATTATGAAAGAACCTCGATTATAACATGCCAAAAAAAGTTATAATAGTACTATATACTCTTTATTCAATTGAATCATATGCTTATAAAGTGTACATATATATAGACAATAAAATAGAGTAATAAAGAAAAATATAATGAATAAATATTCTTAATAATTCTAATATATTTTGTAATAAATTTTAACTAACATTTATATGTCAATGAATCATTCAAATATCATTAAAAAAAATTCATCAAACTAAAAATGAAAAAAAAAAATTCACTAACAAAAAAAATATATATAATTATTTTCTTTAACCATGAATGCATGGATAATAGGCAATGGATTAAATCCTATTTAGATATAATGAAATCTTTTGAGGCTCATTCATGTCACATGACTCCATTCAATAGATCTACTAAATCACTTAGGCTCAAGCAAAAAAAACTTTTTAATTTCTAGCCTAAAGGCCTTCTCAAACACCAAACTTTTACGAATTTTTCTATATTTTGCATGGACTTAATATATGTATTTGATCATATGAGCTCACCTTATAATCTATAACTGGTCTTGTGCCTCTCTTATATGTGTATTGTATTTGATCCACCTAATGAAATTTCACGTAGAATTTTTATCCTTTATTAAAATAGTCTATATAAATGTAGAAATTTTCTGTCATATATTAACCGCTGCTAAAATTTATTCAGTTAATACAAATATAATGGATTTTCAACAATTAAAAAATCATTGCAATTAATTTAATAGAATTTTAGAATGTTGTAGTAGTTAAAAAAAAGTGTTGCTAAAATCTTATTTAGTAATAATGTTGAAGATTGAGTGTAATTAATGTTTGCATGTTTGATAATTGTGTTTTCATTGCACGTCTTTCCTTTCTATGCACCTTATAGTGATATGCCAATAAGAAATGGGGAGAGTTTAACGGATGAAAAGTTACTTTCACAAAAATATACTTAAATTATTACCATTTTTTTTTCTTAAATGCAACTAACAACTCGATCTAACTTTCTTTCCTAAATGCAATTGACAACTTTAACTTTAAAGTGAAATTAAAAAACGTAGTGCATTAAATACAATTATGAGTATTTGGAAGAATATAACATTTCATAAAGTAAGTGGTTTTGAATATAAACATCATGCAAATTTGACTGGAACGACCTTTCAAAAATAGCATTGTAAGCCGATTCTAACTTTACAATAATGAACTGAATGAAGTGTGTAGTTTGTCGAGGAAATTCTCCAAGTACAACTGGGAGACTGATTGTCCCTTCAACTCATACAGGTCGATTATCAAATTCATACAATGGACCTGTAACAGGTTGAAGCTTTTCTCTTGAGAGAACCATATTGAGAAAAGTGGAGTATAACAGGACATCTACGTAGCTTCCATTGTCCACAAGAATTCTTTTGACATTATTACACGGGTCACCTATCCCCGCATTTATTAGAAGCATATCTTAATGAGGGGTTTTTACTCGCACCAAATCAGAGTCATCAAAAGTGATAGAGTGATCCACATGAACTTTCTTTGGTGTTGAATTTTCTTATACACCTAGAAAAACTTGATTAGAGATAGTAAGGGACCTCCTACGATGGTCTCAATTTCACCAACTATTATTTGATTATTTACTGGTTGTCTCTGTTATTTATTTTGCCCTCTAGCGGGACGAGCTTTCTCTCGGGTATGTTGATCTCGAATAAACTGTCGAATATAGCCTTGATGGATAAGTATTTCAATCTCATCCTTGAGTTACTTACAGGCTTCGGTAGTGTGATCACGACTACGATGAAAATGACAGTATTGATCTTGATTTTCTGTGTTTAGCTTCAAAGGATTCAACCATTTTACTGTATCTTGATTTCGAACAACCATCAATACATTTGCTCGAGATGTGTTGAATGGGGTATACTCCTTCTCCTGTCAAGGTTATCGTCGTGGCAATGGAGGCCTAGGATGCAGATTATTCTTCCCTTATTTCTTTTTTTTATTATCTATCCCAGGTGCACCCTTGCATTTTTCATTGGTTTGCTCAAATTATTTTTATTTGAGCATTTATGACTTCATTTGCAGAGATTTGCGCCTCCAGACGATGATCAAGTTGGTATATGAATGAACTATGTCCAGCATGAGTGTTGAATAGAAAGGGCCAGGACGAAAGCCTACAAGAAAGACCACTCTCAATAATTCAAGATCTACTCCTGAAATTTATTGAGTCTCAATGAAAAATCGTTGAAAATACTCCTTCAATGATTCTTCTTCATTTTGACGGATCCCGAGAGGTGAGAATAATCCTTAATAATTCTTCGATTGGTTACGAACTGTTCGATAAATACCTTGGCCAATTTTACGAATGTAGGGATTGTTTTGATTTGAAGCAAATAGAACCACATTCGGGCTTGTCCTTTAAGGGTAGCAGGAAAAACCTGTCAGAGGAGTGCGTCCAGGCTTGTTGGATATGCATGATGATTCTATAATGATTGATATGCTTATATGGGTCGGATGTCCCATCATAGAACTCGATGCTCGGTAGTTTGAATCCAACTGGAATGGGTGCTGAAGAATGACTTCAGTTAGAAGTGATGACTCCTGAAAGTTCCACTGTCAAAGAGTTTGCATCACACCTCCTCCAGGAAACTCTTCCCATACTAATATTCTCAGTTCATGACTTAGGGCGTTGTGAGGGAGCTCAACAATGTGCAGTTGGGCTAAGTCTTTTTGGAGATCTGGAGGAATGCGAGGTTACCGATTTGTGGGCAAAGGATTGGTAGAACTTGTTGTATCGGCAAGTTCGTTATCTTTTTGTGATTGCGAATGTCTTCTTGACAGAGGAAGAGGAATATCTGCTTAAAGATGTTCGAGTTGAATATCTTTGGCCGATGGTGGAGCTTAGGGGTGTAAACGAGTCGAGTCAAGTCGAGTATACGCTTTATCGAGCTCGGCTCGTTTAACCCTTAATTAGCTCGAGCTCGAGTTCGAACTCGTTTAGTGGGCTCGAGATCGACTCGTTTAAGAAAT